ATATATATATATATATATATATATATATATATATATATAAACATGTCCCTCTCTTTTTCTCAGATTCTCTGGGCTTTCAAGACCCTGACAGGAAAACTCAGTCTTTCCTTCCTATGAGCCACAGGAATCTTGGGATCTCATTCCCAATTAATGTTTCTAATATTACTTCCTATCGCTATCATATCATCCCTACAATGAACGCTAACCCTAGGCACACACCAAATGCTACCTTGGTCAGAGAGGCCTTCCAACCATCCTACCACAACCACACCCTTCCCTCCTCTACTTAGCCCTCCAACACTGCCCCTGCTTATATAACTTGTTCCCACCTTGCTTTAAAATATTCAACATTCAAGGGTTTTAAAAATATGTCCACAGTTAGTAAATGATTCTCCCTCCCTTCTTGGCTGACCAAAGATGCACTATATTATCACTTACCCTAAGTATAAGCCAGATTTTAAAACTTGCTCTCCCAGCGTAGAAATGGTAATGTACAACTTATGAGACATGGTAGTCTTCTACTTGTTTTGTCCAGGGTGCTAAACAGGTACCATATGGTGAAGATATAGCAGCCATGTGGGAAAATCCAGGTGCCAAACTGCAGTCGCTAGCCAGGGAGTGACCCTCCACTGAAGCAGATGCCCCAGCCTCAGCGAGGCCTCCCAATAGTTGTTGCTTGCACTGTGTCCTAACCACAACCCAGAGAGAAACTCCCAGATCTAGACATCCAACAAAGCTACGCACAGCTGGGAATGTAGCTTAGTGGTGGGGAACTTGCCGAGCATGCATGGAGACCTGGGTTCAATTCCTCAGTACCACATACACTGAAAAAGCCAGAAGTGGTGCTATGGCTCAAGTAGTAGAGTGTTAACCTTGAGCAAAAGAAAGCTCAGGGAATGCTCTAGGCCCTGAGTTCAAGCCCCAGACCTTGGCCAAAAAACAACAAAAAAGCCATTCATAGCCTCAGGATCCACAGAAATTGAATGAGGAAAGATGTTGGGCATTAGCTCACTTATTTGGGCAAATTTGTTACACAGCAATGGCAAACTAAAACTGATGTACAACATTTTTTTATTGTGAAAATACTGTACAGAGGGGTTACAATTACATGGGCAAGATAGTGAGTACATTTCTTATCAAGCATTGTAGCCTCCTCCTTTTGTTTACCCTTCCCATCCCTTCCCATCCTCCCCTCTGCCAATCTTCCCCCACCCAATCCTCCACCCCCCACCCCCGGACCAATGTTGTAAAGTTCGTTTTTGACATAACGACTTGTACATCTCATTGTTGCAATGGGTCCACCTGTATCCCTATTTAAACGATTTGTTTTTTCCCTTCCTTTCCACAAATTATACCGACATCAAATACAGTGAAAGCAGGGGTTATACTGTGGGGGAGGCATGTACAAAGCAACAAAGAAATAATCTTATAAATGTGTTAGAAACAATTGCATGAAAGGAAAAAAAACATTTGAATACATATCTTAGGGTTCATTTCCCTAACATCAACTTACCCTGAACTAGCCACTCAGTGTGTAGTTTTGGTTTATTAACCGCAGCGCCTTCACCTAAATGATCGTTTACTGGAAGGCTGAAACAACTTACTATGTGTGAACAATACACTGATTTTAGTGTATTTTTTCATCAATGAGAAGCTAACAGTGTATATCATTTTGTTTCTTCTTGTCTCAATACAATGGTACAAAGTTTGAGAGTTATAAAGAATCTAATTTCCAAATTCATCCCAAAACTGGGTCCAAAAGTTATTTATTTGGTATCTACAATCGACTTTCTTATAAGAAAAACTTCATATAACATTTGGGAAAACCACTAAAATCCACTAAATGCTACAAAATCCCTCAGAGTAGTTAAATTGAAGGTGGCCATGACAACACGGTTAATGTATTTGTAGACAGTGCTGTGTTCACATCTCCCTTGAAGACTGAAGACCCAACTCCTGGGTTCTTGCACACTGATACCCACCCCTTTATCATCTGGTCTTCTCCTGAGAAATTATATTCAGGGCAAAGTAGCTCCTTTACCCCAAGCCATACTTGTGCTCTCTGGGCAGCCCATTTCCATCCATCACAGGCTCATGTGAGACTCTTACAGATACCATCCTGAACAACTCAGCACAACTCTGAAAAGGCATCCCCACATAACATGGCTCCTAGTGGGTCAGAGTGTTTCCTCTAGGCAATGCTTCTTCCTTTGCTTTAACACACGATAACTCATCCGAGATCATGCCTTGACACACTTCCTGTCGTCCAATCTCCAACTCAAGAGTCTCTGGGAAGCCAAGCTGGAACCTGGTGGAAGGCAGTATCCTTCACTGTCACAGTTTGCATCTCATTGCTAGTTGTATTTTGAAGAAAAGGCAGGTGTCACAAGGTGGGGTTAGAAAGAGTCCATGCATCCACCTGCAGGGTGAGCAGCTCCAGCAAAGCCTCTGCACTTTCCCCAGACCTGACACGATTCCCCTCAGAAAGGCGGAGAGAGATTATTCTCTAACCTAAATGCTATTATCTAAGAAACCTGTCAGTCAATTAGGAAAGGACAAGGAGCAGAGCTTTTGGTGGTGCATACTAATTTTAGGGAGGAAAATAAGGACATAGAAAGACTTGGAAAAAATTATATTAAGTAAAGTAAGCCAGGCCCAAAGAAACATAGGTTCCCATGGTTTCCCTTATTTGTAATAATTAGTATATGTCTGGGACAAGTAGAGCTATTCAATTAATAGGAAGAGCCTGGAATCGCAGTACTCAGAAGGCTCGGGCAGGAGGATCATGGGTTTGAGGACTGTCTAGGCTATGCAATAAGTTCAAGAGATTGTCTCAAAGCAAACAATAAAAACAAAACTTGAATTATGTATTACATGTATATAATGCATATATAGCGATCTCACCAGGTAGATAGATAGATACATACATACATACATACAAATCTATATCTATATACATAGATATAGATTTCCCTGTTGGATCCAAAGGCTTTTCTCCCCCTGTGTATCCAAAGGACTTGAAACCAGTAATCTGAAAAGACACCTGCATGCTCTCATTCACTGAAGTACTATTCACAAAAGCCAGATACAGAAGCAGTCTAAGTGTCCACAAATTGGTGAATGGAGGATAAATGCAGTATATGGACACAATGGAGCACTCTTCAGACAATAAAGGGAATCTTTTACTACTTAGTAACTGTAATTATTTAAATAACTTAGTCAACCTCAACTTTCCTCAACCTTCCTGGCTGGATTGTTATACCTATACAATATCATATCTATATAATGGGTATGTGCTATTCTTATGTCTTAAAATTATTGCCATCGCTCCAAATATACAACATCTAACTGTGTCAACCATAGCTTAAAATATCAGTACTCTGATCACTTTTGCTATAGTAGAAATGCAGGAAGGAAAAATGCTGAGATTTTTTTTTCTGAGATATCTTAGAAGACCAAGAAGAAATGCAGAATCAACTTGAACGGTAGGGCCTTTCTCCATGTCTCTAAAACTTGGCTGAAGTTTTCAAACGTGGGAATCATAATCACTCATGAGATTCTCCAAGGAGTGGCCAACTGGCTCTTCTGTCCCTAGTCCTTTGGCGAGGAAGTATCACATAAACATGAATTATGCAAGATGAACATGCACACTAAAATGTAGAAGGTGACCTAACTTAGAAAGTTGTAGACTTAATAAGTTTTAGCTCTTACCCTTGCTTTATTTCTGTGGTTGTGTGTGTGTGTGTGTGTGTGTGTGTGTGTGTGTGTGT